GGAATTTTGCACCTTGGCTAAGGCAACTTTGCAAGATAGGTCTTTACGTATTAGGTGTTTTAATACTGATATTGATAGTGGTGCCTTGTTTACTCTGTTGTGTTCGGCGAATGATGAACAAAACAGTCCGAGAAGTTTTTGTCATTCAAGCAGGAGAATTAGGAAGTAGAAGCACGGAGAGTGTACGAAATCTTACGAAAGCAGTAGATGAAGGTATTGACATGAACGAAGGTTTTGAATTAAGGCCTTGGAATCGACCAGAGTTTTTTGAACGATAACTTGTGACTGTTGCCGAACGTGAATCATACCTCTTTCAAGAATTAGGTTTTCACAGCATTAAGTTGCTGTGCCGTAATATAGCAATACTTCAGTTTAGTCAAAATAGGTCTTCAACAGATAATAAGCAGAAATTTTGCAATAGAGCTATGAAACGCAAGTAGTAAGCGACAAGAAAATGAAAGTTTCTGTGTTTAACAGAGAGGGGGAAATGTTGGAATCCATAAGGTTAGAGGGTTTTTAGGAAATGGTTAAAAAAGGTATAGGCCTCAGACTGAAGTTTTGTTAGCATTGCAAATGTAAGCAGAAAAGTTTCCCATACAAGCAGAAAAGTTTCCCAAGCAGTAGACGTGACAAATAACAATAGATCTCTGTAGAATTGGTTTTAGGATGGCAACAAGGTTATTTAATGTATATCTTTAGAAGGTTAGCATGAATAGAGCTCTGTTCATTGTCTCTTATGAACCAGTCTTTGTTTTAGCTACGATTACGTATACTTTGTGGGATTGGATAGAATGCTTGTCAATATGTGTTTTCTGTGTGTGATTGGCTGAATTCTAGATTGAGATGATTTTATGTATTGCTGTGTGAGCCCTCTTGGGGGAGATTTTTTTGGGGTGGATCAGTGAGCTGTCATGTCTCCTTCTTGTATTATGAGACTGATGTGCTGGAAATAAAATCAAAAAATCTCTTCACTGGTCTGTTTACAATGTTATCCATATTTGGATATTTTGCCGCGGCCTAGTGGGTTCCTTTTTTAAGACGTGGGTTCCTGACACAATTGGACTTATATCTACCCATCCCCCGACATACATCATGTTGATCACATAAGACGCATCGAGAAACTCGGTGTTAATATTCTGCTGTCAGCAAACTGGTATGGGCAGCCTCATCCCCATCATATGAGGGCCTAGAAAGTACATGTTTTCTGTTGAAGAAAATGTCTGAAGACACTTCTTAAAGTATTTTCTCCTTTACTATCTGATTAATGCAGTTGCAATAGTGATTTGTGGGTTTTTATCATAAAAATTTATAACTGAAGCCGCTAGATATAAATAATATAATAGACATAATCCTTTAAAGTTATATGATATAAAGTAGCATTACAATTCTCACAGTGCTCACCTTTCAGAAAATGAACCATTTCTTACTACATTCTCAATCTTATAATGGACAAATTTATTTCACTCTGGCGACAACAGTGCTACTTTGCATGCACCTGTTTATTTTGCTGGATAAAGGTGTTTTGAGGACACCTTGTGTCCCCCGGGGCACCTTCTGCAATTTGAATTTCCTGTTTTATGATGGGGCTAGATTTTCTGAAGATTTTGTTGAAGGAAGAAGTGACACCTTGCGATATCAGTCAGAATACAGAACGAACAGGAAAAATGCAGATTCAGCAGCCGTTTTCTCTAGGCTAACTGAGCTGAAGACCTAATGCAGGACGTGGGAAGAGACTAGTTCTCAGCCAATCCTAGCAGCTGTCTAGATGTGACAGAATTGCCTTGCGTGTTTTTGACCTTCAGTCTGATTATTAGAGCAGTTTATCAAAATATTCAACAGTGTCAGCATATTGCAATATATTTCTTGCGCAGTCTTAGACTTGTGGAATTTGCAGACAAAGAGAAACAGTTATCTGGTAGCATTTGCAGTTGCAAAACAAAAACAAGACTGAGACATATGTTTTGTGAAAGTTTATCAAGCAGAAGAATGTGGAAAATGTGTATGTGAAGATAGTTCTGGCGTCTTTTCTATTACACAGAATATCAATCTTTGTGCAGACACAAAGGGAAAGTCCTGTATAATAATATTTACAAAAATGCAGTGGCTTTGCAATTCTTCTCTCATTTATTACCATCAGGAATGTCATATCCAATTTTTATAAAAGGCACATTATAAAAAAAAAATAGGACCTGAAATGAGAGCAAGAAAGGCTTTTCTTTTAAGTGAAAAGTTTCTGCTATGTGATCTGAAGAATGTCCATAAAGCAAGTTTAGGACTGAAATGACCGCTGACAGTCATGTGGTTATGGTTAATGATGGCGCCAATATATGGAAATGGTCAAGTGTGGTTTTATATGCTTAGTGAAAGCTTTCAAACTTTTCCCAGAAAGCATTATAATACAGTTTTCAAAAGGTACCCGAGTCATAATTTACATATGAGAGGTATGTTTTCATTATGCTGCTGCTATTCTGCACTGGACCTACCCATGCGGCCTTTACCCTAATGCAGAAGTTTCGTGCAGTTTGTGCCTTAGGACACCTGTGAAAAGTTTCTCTTCTGCTTAACAGTGCTTACATACCAGAGCTGCATGCAGCAGTAAGCTTTAAAAGTAGCTGCAGAGGAGGGAATGTCGCTTACTTGTGAGTGGGAATATCTGTTTGTGAAGGCTAAGGCCACAGAAAACCTCAGCTAGTCATACATGCAGCAGTGTGAACACAACAGTTAGAAACTTCAAACGTGTTGTTTCTGAAAAATAATTACACATTCTTCTAGGGGGATTGAGAAAGTTGCTCTCAAATTATGAGAGGAACTAAATATTTGAAGTTGTGTCGTGCTTTCTAGGGTTCTGAAAATGTTTAAATTGTCCAAATAATTACCAGTCTGGTAGTGCACTTCATTCTGAAGAGTCATTCTCTCTTCACTAATTCCTTTACTTAAAAGCTATGATTTACTTAATTGCAATGAGAACTGCCCACACCTTTGGTGTCACTGCCCTTTTTCTTACAAGTGGTGTCTGTAGCTTTTCTGCTGCAATATTCAGTGAAGCCTAGAGCTGTGGGAGATCAGTGAAAACTATCTAGGATTTAAAGACTGAGGGAAATCCCAGAAAGGAGTGAACTTGATAACAGCATTAGCCAGATTCAGCCTGCAAAAAGGACTTTTTGATAAAGGGAGGGAAAAGCCTGATGGGGAATTAGAGAAGTGTCAAGACTTTTAAGACTATGTCTTCACTGCAATTAACATAGACTGTTGCTCTTTGTCCCTGCCCTATCCACTGAGCCTGCTGCTTGAGGGTTCCAGTGGATGTAGTGCCAGATCTGACTCTGGAAGTCATCTCACTAACAGGCTCTCCACCTCAAAGGCAGAACTGTGGCAGTTTCTTGATTACTCAGAGGGACAGAGGTTTGCTTGTTTTTCCTAATTCATTAGGAGGGACAGTTTATATTATTCACTTTGCTGAAATACTCAGAATTATGACTTCTACTAGACATGGGTCTAGTAGACATGAGTAGCTCATGTAAGTTGGAGATGCGTCGTAATTTAGATGTGGCTGGTAGTAATGGCAGCTATATGCCATTAATCCTGATTGCTTCTACAAAGAATTGTATCTAGGAATGAAGACACTGGTGAAAGACAGAAAAATAGAATGGATATTGGGGAATAGAAAATTAGAATTGGGTATTGAGAGTATACTTCAGCAAAATATGTAAGCAAGAGCCTTCATTTTAAAACTGCTTGAAGCTATCCTTATTTGCCAGAATCATAGAAAATGCTGAATTGGAAGGGACTGATCAAGATTTAGTTTCTAATTTGTAGAAAACTAAAGAGAAGGAACTAGAATTCACTCAATAAAAGGCACAAAGGGGAACTGGGGGTAGGGAAGAGATCTGGACAAAGACTGAAATGAAAGCGAATGCATAAAGTTCAGAGGATTGAACAAGTGTCAGTATTTGGTCTTGGTATGCCAAATTAAGAAAGAAAGAAAGTGGTGAAATGGCTGAAGGGACTGAAATACTTCAGACAAAAAGGAGAGAAGGGAGATACAAACAGTACCAGCTGGGAGTAGCATGTACATTCCTCTGGCATTGGTGATGTGCCAGGAGGGGCTTGGGTTCTTTTTTTCCTGTTTTAATCTGAAGCTGAAGAAGATTTTGGTTAGTTTCTCTGAAAGACTAAACCAGGGCTTTATAAAAGGAAGGGTTACGTACCAGAGGTTCAGGTGAGGAGCTGTGGGCTGCAGGCAAGAGCCAGTGGGTGTGTGCATGCTGTCTGAAGTGGTGTTTGAGAACAGTGGTGTAAGAGGATATTGCATAATTTGTAGGGAGGAAAAGAAGAAAGAGGGATAGGAGAAGTCCTGCAAAATAATTGCAGTAGTTTGAACAGTGGACAGTAGGAAGTTTGCAGTGTGCATTTGTGTGGTTTTGAAGTAATTCACTTCCGCACCCATTGCTGGGTCTCTTCTTGCAAATCAGATGCCTGTTCTTTATTGGAGATAACTCTGTTTATCGTCTCTTCCTGGACATCACTGAGGCCAATCAAAACACAGTGTGGGCCACTGATCAATTCAACATTAATGGCCCACTTGGAAAGACTCGGTGAGGCAGTCAATTCTCTTTTGGGGAGCTCAGTTGGAAGAATAAGGAGCCTTACTCTTTGATATTATTACCTGACTTTGTCAAATATTTTCTGTCTCTAGAATTACAGTGTTTAAAAGAAACACATAAAAACATGGGGGTTTATGTTCAGATCACCCACTCAAAGGAATTTTGCACTGTATTACTTGGAGCATGTGGTGGTGGGCTGTTTCATGCCGTTTATGCTTTTACTGTTCAAGGAAAGGTTTGTTTTTACCCTTAAATGCAGGATCAGTGGTGTCTGTGAAGTTCAGGCATCTGGCTTTTTTTTTTTTTGCAAAAGTAGTGGTAAGATTTTTAGCACCATAAGCATTGCCGTTAATGGCAGAAATGAATTTGACATGATGTGACTCTCTGTTATCACAGCACTGGATACCAGTGTATTTACTATTCACCTGAAAACACAGCCAAGGCAAAAGAAGTTCTCAGCAACATCAGTCATCTGCAGCCTCTCATATCAAGCCATGCAGACCTGCTGCTCAGTTCTGCAAGCCAGCGTTCTCCAGACAGCTTGAAGAACTCTTTAAAGATGCTTTCAGAAAAAGTAAGATTCAAATCCTCACTGCAATGGAAAATGGAGTAACCAAGTCTCTCTAACTGCTGGGGAGGAAGGGGGGGGGGTTTCTGCATCATTTGACTTTCACAGCATCAGGAAATGTTAAATAAACTCAGCTAAAATAAGCATCAAAATGTTGTTATTAGAAAAATAATGTTATTTAGCATTTCTGTAGGCCTTCCGTATAGAAAATTAATGAAATCTATAAAGATTGCTTTATTAAAAAGTGTAATTAATTTAATTTCATGTAGCTTCTTCATCCTCTAGTGGCTACATACTGGAGTTTATGAAAATATCAACAATTATAAATAATTTTGTAGTATGAGAAGTCTTTTTTTTTCATTCTCTTTCTATGATATTTCAAGCTGCTGGTTATGGGAGGTAGTTCAAGCCAGGTTGGTGTATAAGGTTTAGAATAACAGCATGATCAGAAATGGTGATGCAGCCTGGAAGGAGAAGCTGGGAAATTTGCTCTAGGAGATCTCAAAGTTTATTTCTCTTTTTCCTATTATATCTGTCTGTAGCTGTAACCTCTTCCTCATTTTAGTTCCTTTAGTTCTAAATTAGAGAAGATAATGTTCGCCGCTGGTCTCACAGACTGATAATGGAGATTAGCTGAAGCCTGTAGTGCTTCCCAGCATATGTTACCCTATAAAAATATGAGCCCTTATATGAATAACAATATGAACCCTGTGACCCGAGAGCTTGTGAAGAGTTTCCCATTTCTCCACGGGCCATCCCTTCAGCAGTATGATCCCAGTATGGCTCAATAACACGATCAGTAACCATTTCCATGCATCTTCAGCTATTGGGAAGTGACAGCCCTGTTGGTCTGTTGAGCACCATTACCCCAGCAGCTCCTTGTGCCATAGGAGGGTTTCAAATATTGATATTGAGCTTGGCCACTTGCTGGGAAGGCATTCCAGAAGAGCACTAGGGAGAGGAACATCGCTCTCAGCGGCAGATGTGTGAATCCACACTCGCTCTGAGAATGTGGAGTCGCTCTGAGCGTCAGGGGTGATGGAAGAAGGCAGAATTCAGCCTGGAAATGAAACAGAGGAATTTAAGGAGGGGGACTGTAGTGATTATGGTGTACCTCTGGATGCAGGAGGGCATTTTTAGCTGTGCATAGAAGAGTGAAGCTGCTCTGTTAGAGGTTAGTTCAAAGAAATCTGTATGCACAGGCAAAGCCAATCAGGCAAAGAAGGGTTTGTTCTGAAGATCCAAGGGGTGGTTGCTGAGCAATGTGCATTTTCTCTGCCATTGGCCTCTGGACAGGAGGAGGGGATGATTTCAGAGGCAGGAGCCATGGTACTAAAGTACTGCTTGAACCATGGCTCGCTAGAGACTCTGGCTATAAAAAGGGGACAAAAAAGACAATTCATTCAGTTTGCTAAAGCCTTAGGTATTTTACATTTATAGCTGGTGGCTTAGTTGAGTGTGTTCATATCAGCTTTTCAGGACCAGGATTAAATTGCTGTTAGTGCATGAGCTCAGGTTCCCAGAAGAAGGAGTCTCACCCCATGTACTCCTTGGATGTCTGTCCACCTTTTGCTTGGAAGAGACAAATCCAGTTGTCTGAACAACTGCAGCAGGAGTGGTTCAATACCTGCTTCCCTGTCTATTACCAAATGCACTCCTAGGAAAAGGTGGACAATAGAGAAATAGGGTGGATTGCTGAGGAAGCAAGTGTGCTGGGACAGCTGCTTGTAAAGAGGGGAGGAGAGATGGGGAAGAGAGACCAAGAAACAGCTTCAGGAAAGAGAAATACAATTTCAAAGCCCTAAACTCAGTGAACCCACACAATACTGAAATTAGATCCCTCATGGTTAATTCAAAGCCTTATATTGCTGTCTTGAAATATTCTGTCTGTATAGTCTGGTACAGTACTGGAGAACCAAGACTACCAGAGTGTTCCTGCTTGCATTTAACACAGAGTAGCACATGCTCTGCTGAGTATAATGACATGATATCTGCTTGTGCTCCTGAGGCATATGTAGTGCTTTGCTATTCCATCTTTCCTGCACTTTTTGTATGTAAAAAATAAATGCTCTGATGTTTTAACTGGATAGATATTTAGAAAGTAAACATCTGTTTGAAGCCATAAAAATTATTTGCCTGGTGATTAAATTCTGCAAGTTTATTAAAAAACATATCACTTGGTATATATAAGAATTCTTTCTATAATTATTAGGTAGCAGTGAGTAAATCTGAATTATCAATAATGTGAATTACATTAAAGTGTTCATGTTGGAAATGGAAGGACTGGCTGCATGGATTGAAAGTGGAAAATGAAATCAAATAATTCCACTGCTGCTTCTTAAAAGGAGCTTATTTTCTCCTGTTAAGCATCTCCATATATAATTTACAGTTTCCTGTAGTGTTTTCCTGAGACTAACCTTTTATCATTCCTTTTTGTTAGTTGATTAAGGAAGCCTTTAGCTATCGACAAGTGTATCAGCATTTGCAGCTTGCAGCAGGCTTGATAAATTAATTTTCCAGCTATGCCTATCTTTGTTTGCAGGAATACTCTTTAGTAGAGTATCTGAAAGAATTTGCAGAGTTTTTATTTCTTTGTATAGACTGGTTTTGTGATTTCAGTGCAGTTTCATAAATAGTGATGTTCTGCAAATTTAGCTGTACTGAGCTGTTAGAAAGTGAAGTTAAAACATAGACTGCTGTAAAACCAATGGGATCTCTGAATGGAATTTAATTACAGAATTATTTGAGTTGCTGCATGAAAAATGGAGTCGCACTTCTGTACTGATTTTCTTTTAAAAACTAAATTTCCCTATAAAATATTTCTATTCAATTATATTACTTAAACTTTGCAGTCCTAGTGGGCATTATTTACATCAAGCTATCCAATTCTCCTAATTTTTTGAAATGTAAAGTTTTTTTGAGAGTTATTCTGAACCAGAAACGTGAAATTTTCTCAAACAGACATTGTGGGGAAGGTAGATATTAAACCTCAGCAAAACCATGATATTGCTGTTTTTAAGGGTAGACAAGTAATGGAGTTTCAACTCTCTTGCTATGGAACTGTAGAAGTGTTGAAGAGGAGCTTTGCTGTTACCACACAACCCCTCAAATCTCATTGTGCCATGGTAAGGCAAAGAATGGTGGGGTGTGATAGCACTATTCCCCAGAGACTAAGTCATTCTCCAGGCATGCACCATCTGGGTTGGAAATGTAGAAAACTGCAATTGTCCTGCAGAGCAATTCAGGACAACGAGGAGACAGTCCTGAGAAAACTGTTAAAAAATGGCCTTTCCCTCAGGCACCAAGTTGGTAATGAGGAGAAGGAATGGGTCTGGTAATATCGCCAGGGAGATGAGTAGCGTTGCCAAGTCTAAAGAATCCCAAGTCAGGTCTGATTTTGGTTTTAAAAAATCAATAATTTTTCTTAGATGTGCCTGCAGTTCTTATTTTTAGAACTGTAGAGATTTATTTGGAGTAAAATTTTCAGCCCGTCCATGTGAAACAATTCAGAAAGCATTTTTTTGGTAAACATAATGAAAATGGGAAAGGCAGAAACTTCTCATTTAAGTACCTCACCTAGCAGCTGGAGCCTTAAGAAAACCATTAATTTTTTAGAGCCTTTCTGTCTTAAATATCTGTAAACTTTTGAGAGGGTCTTGAGACAGGAAGGCAAGAAAAAGAAGTTGAGTAGGAGTGGGTGCAAAAGATGACCAGGTAGTATGAAGAAAGGGATAGGATAAGAAATGCAGAAACTGGGAGAAAAGACTTCCAGGAATATTCTCAGGAGTTCCAGGGAGGTGCTGGCACTTGGCACTTGTTTGTTTTGGGGTTTTTTTGGCTACTTTTCCCTCCAGTTTTTGCATAAGCAGCACATAAGGGCTGAAGAGAGCTTGGCTGGGCAGCCCTCATTTTTGGCATTTCCTGCTGGTTGAGGCTGGATCCTCTGACTCTTATCTACATACCTTCCCACATCCCTGTTTAATTAAGATTGTCTGCACAAAGGCATACTTTCCTTGTTGAGGTGGAAGGGAGATGAATAATGCAGGGAGGTTGAAGGATTTAAAAAATACGGTAAAATGCCAGCTGTAACAGTCAACATAGAAAAATGATGCAGAGATTGAATAGCATCTTCAGAAGACCCGAGAAGACAACTTCAGAGTTTCCTTTCTTTAAAATATACAAAAAAATCAAGCTTGAAATCAGGTGTCACCTACCATGATATCTGGGTTGACACCTACCAGTAGTAAAATTTATCTGTGGAAATACTGCTTTTGCAGATACTGCTATTTCAGCATTGTAGAGTGGTGGGTTTTATTTAGAGAGATTATTGAACTGGTTAATTGTGTTTTATCTTACACTTATTCAGAAATCATCGTGCTGTGGTTGGTTACTCTTGGAAGTGGTTCTTGTTGAGGCTTGCCTCTGAGGTGAAATTTGGAATTCAAATAAAATGTGAAAAGATTGTGATCTCTGACAGATAATGTGCTCCTGTGTTAATGCTTAGAACACTGGGATTGTAGAATGTGATCTCTAAAACTCTTGAAATTTTCCTCATTATTTGTTGGCCTACTTTGTTTTCTGCCTCCCAGGCAGGCCTGAAACAAATAGCCGCTCTGCCTAAGGATAATTCATTGTTACACAGCTTTGCTGCCATACCACATTCTTTGCTCTAACCTTTCCATTGGTTTGGTTTTTTCCCTAGACGGAGTTATTTGTGCACACGTTCAAGGACCAGCTGGTGAGAAGTGCCCTTCTAGCGCTGTACACGGCCCGGCCTGGCTGTGTGCTCAAGAAACCAGCTGTGCCCAGGAGCAGTGCAGAGGAAGGGGCTGATGCACAGCACCAGGACCATCCTGCTCACGTCAAAAGGCAGGACTCCATACCCCATCATTCTGAGTATGATGAGGAGGAGTGGGTAAGTGGACAGAAACCCTTGGCCAGTGAAACCCTACAAATTAGCATAAGCCACCTCAAGCCCTCAGTGTCCTTGTCACATGCCGTTGCAGGGGGCAAAGGGGTGCAAAACTGTAAAATTGTGCTTCTCAGATGCATCGCAGATATGCAGATTTTGAAGCTAAATTGCAAGGCTTTGCCTAAGTACAGTGTGCTGCTCTGAGACTGCCTAGTTGTGCATAGAACAGTGAAGGTGTTGAGTGTATTCTTGCCCAGACACAAGAATAGTCTTTGTTCTTACTTGGGTTGGTTTTGCTAGTTGGGCAGATTTAAGGACTGGAACAGTATATGCTGTTCACAGGGAAATGGTTTTTTTCTTCCCCACCCCCTGCAACACCCCTCTCCAGCCCTCAGGCTGTAATCATTTTAAATACACTGAATTAACCCTCAGCCCATTGCCCCTAGACTCTGTTCTTAGAAACTGTCTGAGGTTCTGTAAAAGAATTAAATACAGTGTTTGGATTTTAACATTCTTAGCATATCTTTCAAAGATATGTATTATTTATATGGCTGAAATGTTATAAATCAATTATTTTGGTGGATGTCTTCTTTAATAGGTCTGTTACTTTATTTCATACGTACTCAAGCTATTTTTATTCAGTCCAGGCTCATGCTTTGAGTTCATCACTGTATTCTCATAGACGTAAAGGATGTCAGCATATTCATCTCTATTGTAAATAATTAATAACTTGTGTGAGCTATGGTATTCCACCTAACCTGTAATTTTTTCCACACCAAAAATAAAGGAAGAAGAATATATTTCTTCTAGAAGAAAGGCAATTATTTCCAGCCCCATGCATTAAGTATTCGTGAGATTTAAACAATAAATAACTCATTATTTCATTTGTCCTCCAGTTTTAGAGCCTTTAATTCACTTTTTCTTGTTTTCTCAACAACCTGAGGGGCTGGAATGGTGCTCTTTGCTTGAACTAAAGCCAAAATGTTTGTTTTTAGCTGTTGAAACATTTAGAGATATAAATAACACAATAGTTTTTGTAAAAGAGATAAATTTTGCACTGGAAAAAGTGGCATTTGTGAAAACTGCATTTTAATTTAGTACTGCAGTTCAGCATCTCTGAAGAGAAGATAGCTTTGCTGTAATTCATAACTAAAAGCCGCCAGGTGCTTGGTCCTCACCTATTAAACTGCATAAGTGGGTCATTTTAAACAGCATTCATTTTTTTCTGCTGAATTAGTAATCTTGATTCAAATTAAATGTATCTTTCACTGTTTTCTGAATTGAGCTGAGTCAGAGTCATTGTCAAACTTGAGACAGTATAAATTTTGGAGAAATTTTGTGATTTTTTCTGGATTTGAATGGTTAAACTTTTCAGTTATTTCTGTCAGTAGAGGTGATATGAGTTTTAATAATCAAATTGTGATTAGCACGATGGAAAGAGAAAGAATAAAGGCATGTAAAATTTGAAAAAACACTTAATCCACTGTGAAACACAACTATAAAGGGAAAAACTTTAATATATGTTGCTTTGTATGCACAATGCTCTATCCTCCTTTGCTGTTGTAGGTTTTTTCCTCACTATTATCAGTACTAAGTGTTATAAGTACTATTATAAGTACTAGTGTTACATTTTGCAGTTGGAACTTTAGTTTTGCCTGAAATCTACATCCTTAAACAACTCTTTAAGCTGACCCTTGAAGCAGCCCACGAGGGTGTTAATCTCTGAGCAGAGCTCAAAAAGGCCTTAAGGAATTATCTGAATATCCACTGAAATGAAGGCGACACAGCATCTTCAGAGTGCTTGGACGTGCAGATGCTGTGCCATACATGGCACAAGCAAAGCACACAGCTGAAGTGGTGTGTATGGAGGGACAAGAAGTGACTGAGGAGCTCTGTGGTGAATTCGGAAAGGCTGAGAATCCTTTAAAAACAGAAACAGCCTCTGGGACTCCACTGGCTGGCAGTGTTTAGAAGGAAGACATCCAGTCAGGTGCAGTGACAGAAAGGAGTGTCCATTCCTGCTCTCTGAAATGAGGAAGGTGTCTTAGTTTTTAATGATACTTTCTGATCAGATGGAACTTAATTACAATTTTTTCAGTTGGATGAATGAAAGAGAATTATTTTACAGGCTCATTTTTAATTGTCCTAGGAGAGGTGCCCAGCTTTCACTGATGCCAAGGCCTGCCTTTCCATCTTTTCATCTGCTTAAGAAGATGAAAGGTCAGTGCTAGGCTACAGGAAAATATTCTGGAAGTAGTAAAAGATGACAATAAGAAGTGACGAAGTGAAGGGAGACGGCCCATCTTAATTGATCAGCATCGAACTCCAATTTATTGATCCAACATGCACATTTTTATAACCGTGTTAATTAAGTTCATACATATTGCAAAACCCGAGCTCATCATTGGCTACAGATTACACAGCAACCCCTCCTCTTGTTTTCAATACCTGTGGTTTGTTATTGAGACCAAAACTTGTGTTTCTCATCCTGTTATTAACTGTTCTCAAGGCCTCCATGTTTGTCACTGCTTTCCCATCACTACCCAAGGACAAGGTATTTACTTGTTATTAAAAACAAGCCTGAGAACTTTGCTGTTTACAGCTGCCTTTTACTTTTCAATCAGCTGTATATTTTCATGGCCTTTTTTCCTTCAAGCCATGTCTGAGCAAAATTCTCCAACAAAGAAACGGATTAATTTCTTCTCATGGAGAATCATAGAAGCCACTTGATTTTCAGTGATGGGAAACTGCAGTTTTACTTGAAAATTGTTCCTGCCAAACTGCAGAATTTCAACAGCCTTCTTAGATAAACGTGACTGCCTTTGGTGCAGACAGAATAACATCTCAATGAATGATAAATAGATGCCTCTACATTTTCTATCTGCCCACAATCCCAGGAGCCTCCTGTGTGGAGAAAAGGGGCTGTGAAACAGGCCCTTGCTCCCTCTCAGTTGCTTGTATATAAAAAAGCCAGATACATGATAATAAGAGTGAGCTTTCTGTGAACAGATGTTTATGAATTTCGCTTCTAAACCCTCAGGGAACGTTTGTGGGAATATTGTATAGAAATCATCTCAATGCTGGGTTAATAGTTGGTTTGAAAAAAGTGCTCTTTCCGATGTGAAACAAGGGCTCATATTTGTGTTGCTTGTGCAATAACTCCAGATGCTCTTTAAGAGCTTAATGCTTTTTTTGTGCAGGAATTAAGTTCCCCCATCACACAAAAGAAAAGGGAAATTAGATTGCTCCAACTTCTCTGAGCAACCTCACTTGCATATTCCTCAGCAACTTCAGTGACTGAAAGCTCTGAAGCTCCCTTATACTCTGGAGGATTCTTCATAGAATCCTTCTCCCCAGAATTATGCTTGTGGGCGGTAAAAATCAGTAGTTTCACACATATTGTAAATGTTTTTTCAGGATTGCTTGAAGTGCATAGAGGAGGAAACTTTTGAAGGAATCTATACCTGCCCTCAGTCTTTTGTGTCCTCAGGAGGAGGGAGCAGGGCATAAGATAAGATCCCTCTAGTCAGGCTGAAGCGAGGCATATAGTTGAAAAGCGACATTAGATTTAAATGTTTGCCTTAGCAGTGGCTCTAGATTTGCCTCCACTCAAAATCCAAGGGTTGCCATTTAAACGGAACTATGCTATTTCTCTGAGTTCTCAGTTTTCTTTAACCTTCTCTCTTGGTATTTTTGCAACTTCATTTTTCTGCCTGAAGACCTGACAAATACATAATGCTTCTGGCTCTGTAAAATACAAAACAAAGCAGTGATGTTAAATTCCCATTTTTAACCCTCAAGCAAACTCTGGTTGCTCTGCAATACTTTCAGAATGACTCAGCATTGAAACATATACTTGGAGAGGGAAGGGTGGTTTCTGTGGGTTTGTTATGGTTTGGTTTTAGTCTGATTGCTTGTCTTGTGAACAGCCTCATTACTTGTATGGCTTGGTTTCTTCCTTCTTATTCAGTGCTGCAAAAGTGGGTGCAAAAGCTTTGATTATCCATAACAGCTCTTTCTTATGCTCCACATGATTTCTTTTCCTCTCTGCTTGTACAGAACTTTTTGTACCTCTCTATTACTTCCCTAATTCTCCTATTGTAAACTCAGTTAAGTGTGACGGTTGCAGTTTGTGTGAGAGGTGAGGAACAAAACTGAAATTGTGTTAGCTAATAAATATGCCATGACAGCAAGTTTCTCATTTTAGTCCTTGAATTAACATTTTCTTCAGCAGAGTAACTGATGTGATAAAATACAGGATATGTTAAATTATCAAAAAGAGGTTATTAAACACTGTGACAAAACTGGCCCACACAAGGTTTCATTTGTCAAGCTTTGAGTGTGTCTGTACTCTTAAGGTATCATTTAAATAGACAAGCTGCTCAGTTCCTTGCTATTAGACCTGAAACTTTGTCTGCATTATGTCGAGTTTGAAGCGCTTGTGCACAGTGTCTAAAACCATAAAAGTTTGGGTTCATTTACGCTGCAAGAGAATCTCCATGAAAAAGGCTCAGGTTGGTAATAGGCTGAAGGATGAGAGGAGCAGTCGTATGCTAACATCATGAATAACTTACTATTGTCCCTTTTTGGTTTTTTTTCTGCAGTAACATGCAGTGATAATTCTGGTCTTTTCAGGACAGGGTCTGGGCCAACGTGGCAAAGAGTTTGAACTGCCTTATTGCCATGGTGGACAGGCTGCTTGAAAAGGACAACATCAGCAACATCAAAGAGGGTGAAAATGAGCCTTCAGCAGAAGATTGCAAGGTGTTGCATACAGGCGGTAAGCAACCTCCCCTAATTTTTTTTTTTTTAGTCATTGACAAGAGTAAAGAAAAATTTGCACAGCTACAGAAAAGTCATCTAGAGAAGACTCCATAGTATCTTTGATGAGAGTGCTAATGGCAAGGTTTACACATTTGTGGGAGGTTATTTATCAAAGTACAGCTTTAATGTGTGCTCAGACTGCTTGCCATGTGCAGTTGTTTGTGCTAGAGTGTAAACCTTTTGAAACTAGAGTCTTTTCTTTTTGTAGGCTGATGTAATTTAATTTACTCTAGATTTTACTTGCGTGTAGTATTTTGAGGAAAAAAAAAATTGGACTGTGTCTTACCCCATAGAAAATTTGTAAGGAAAGGTGAACATTCTGAATCAGTGTCATTCTCCTGCAAATGCTTCTGCTTTTCTGAGGTGATATACTGAGTTTTATTTTCTGATTTGATAAAATTCATGTTTACCTGGATATACCTGTCAGCCTGTGTCAAAAGGTCAAATGGAATAATTCAGTGGGATGATGTAAAGAAAATTTTGTGACAAGGGTCCTTGTCACCTTCTGATCTTCTCCTTCTCATCTTCTGATCTTCTTCTGATCTTCTCCTATGATTCATGTTTGCATTCTTGATGCATAGATTATATCTGCTTAATAAGTCTAATGGGATTTTCTAGTCTGAAAGTGTGTTGCAATAAATGAAACAGATCCTTAGTGATGGTGGTAGTAGTCCTAATGGAAGGACATCAGAGCCAACCTTTGTGCCACTCTTTGGCTAAATAAATCAACTCCCCATACAAAACAACAAACCAACACAACTGCTTTATTTTGTACAGTTTTGTATAGTTTCAATTTTCTTTTTTTTCATTGTGCATTTTATCCTGTGTCTTCCCTTACATGTTCTCCACGGAATTTAATGACATCATTTTATATAAAGACTTTTAAAGTTATCAGTACTCACTTGTAATTTATTTCTTACACAACAAGAATTAAAATCACTTTTAAAGTTTTATGTCATTTGTGTAGTACTGGTGAGATCTGTGAATTCTGGTTGTAGTATTGATTTTTAATGCAGCTGTAACATCTGCATTTTACCAGTGTGAGAGGTTTATGCTGGAGTCCTGGCATCCTTGTTTTCAGTGCAAGATGTGTTGGACTTGATTTTGTGTGATTTGTTCAGAGAGCAGCTTATTCCTTATCTGTTTGGTTCTCTAAGTTTCTGTCTACCAGGCATGTAATGTTAGACAGGAGGGTGATATAATCTCTGCTCTCTAGTGAAGGCTTGCAGGTGAAAAATATCAACACAGCTTTCTACACCTTTCCCGCCTTCCTCAGAGAAAGTACAAATATTCAACAGCTAGGTAGGTGTAGTTTTGAACTTGGGAGAATCCTTAGATGGTGGGCCTTTTACAGACTTTTACAGACTTTTCCCTAATTTCCTTCACTCTCTTCAACCCCCTGAGTATCTCCTCTGCTATACGCCGTGTTATGGATTTAACCAGCACAGGCAAATGAAATATTGGTTACAACTTTTAGGTCACAAGCCAAAAACAAAAAAGGAAAAAGCAAAGTTGCATCATTTAAAGTACTGTAATAAGGCAGCCATCAAGTCATCAAGTAGAATGAAAGGTAGCTCTTGCTTAGCAATAATGATAATAGTGATGGTTAGAAAATTTTAGATGAGCTTCATCCAGCTGAGAGGTTGTCTTCTGGAGCTGGTGGGCCAAAGACACAAAAAATATCCAACTGCTATGATGCTGGAATAAATCCTTGCTTTTTTCTTCATTTCAGAGCCATCCCTATTTCTCTTGAATAAGTACAGGTGTCCTTCAGTGAGAGCAGTGCTTTTGTTGAGCTGTCCTGAAAGTTCTCTAACACTCCCTCACATGAGAGCTGCAGAGATCTGTGGGGCAAACTGCTGTGTTTTCATGTCCTTTTTGAGTAAGACATCGTTTTAGGAATGCCTTGGACAGTTTATAGGACTTTCAAGGTCACATAGAGATGGAGACGTTTTAAAATTGCTTTCTTTTATAGGACTAACTTGAAAGATGGAGCTTTCCGAAGAGCTTTCCAGGTGTGTGCCAAAGTTGGTTCCCTAATGATTTTCAAAACTTTGGGGCCAGAATTTTTCATGCTTGACTTCTCTATGAGAGTGTGGGTGTAGATGTTTGTTTTTCTCTGCATCTCCCTCTCTGAAATTTAACGTGAAACCCTAAGGCTGCACTGTGAAGCAACTACACAGAGGTTGAGATTCCAAGTTTACAGTTACAAATTTGGCTTTAATTCTGCTTCATTTTAAACTTGAAGCCTGATTATGAGTTCACAGCATTTTCCTAGATACAAAATCACACTGTGTACGCCCATAGATACATTTCTAAAATAACAGACTTTTGCACTACTTAAAATTCACAAACGTGACATAAATGAAAAGCTTGCCACATCTTGCTTATATATTATACATAATTTGAGCATATTTGAGCATAATGTATTTCATTAATACTGCAAATATATGGCACAGGTTGATCTTTAAGTCTGAAACTGCTTTAGTTGATACTCAGAGAAATTGGGCTGCTTTTGTAAGAAAAAGAATGCAGAGTTTTGAACAAAATAATAACAAATAAGCCTTGAAGTATGAGATTAAATTTTTGCTTATTTAGTGAACCTGACTGGTTTTTTGTAGCATATAGCAATGAAAGACCTTTCAAAAAATGCACATCTGTTCATTTTAGATGATAGAAAATATTATGACAATATTTTGATGCAATAGCATTTTCATATAAATTTAGATATTGTTGTAACATATATTCAGAGTTTCCTAAAGTAGGTTGATATTTGCAGTCTCAGTGACTATGGCATTGTGTGATCTTACTCTCTTTTTTCAAACATGTTTATATTTGTTGTTTGGAATCTTTGTAATTGGAGATACTGGAGCACTTTTTTTTGCTGTACTCTGCCTTTCAATGTGAATTATACCTTCCTTAGCCTTAACTTTTCATGCAGTCTGACCTTTGAGTGTATTCTAAAGACTGAATTTGAGTTACAGTTACCAAGGTAACATGCTATGGTTTCATCAGTCGCAGGATTATGAATCCTCTGCAGGATAAATCAGGAAGAGTAGAAGGATTTTTAAGGAGAGGGCTTTTTTGTTGTTCTTCTGACTCTAGTCTGGTTTGCCTTGGAGAAATATGTGACAACATTAAATTCTTTTCACTTTTGCCTTTTCGTTTTCCGTGAGAGTTGTGATGTGAAAGCCTGTCCTGCAGCATTAGAGGTGCCAGTGGAACACAGCGTTGGCTCTGGTGCTGGCACAGCCCCGACAGATGTCTGTGCTTGGCTGCTGCATGTGGCTGCTGTTTCTGTCTGCTGCTCGTGCCTCCTGTCAGAGCTCCCACCCAGCCGTTCCCTCGCTGCCTCTGCGTGAGGACTCCCCCATTTGATACACACAGGATCCACCTAGCATCACAAACAATTTGAGTTGCCAGTGTGATTGCACCTGGATTTTGCCTTTAAGTGAATTATGGAATCATGAGCTCCGTGAACTGGCCCTTGATAACCTTCAGCATAGGTTTGCAAAGAGCACCTGGGGAACATTGCCACATTTCCTAGCTGGAATTACAGGAGACCTCTGTTCATACTCACATTGCTACAGACACATGTGGGTTTATTTTTCTTGTATTATCTCATACCTGTTGGGGACTATATAAGTTTAGATTCAAAATTTCGGACTTTCATTGCCCTGGGGATGGGGACTACATCTTTCGTTGCATCCCTTCCAATGCAGGCTGGTAGAAGTGGGAAATAAAGCTATGTTCTGTGGGAAATAAAGCCGTGCTCTAGTTTTATTGGAATCTTCAGAAAAGCTTTTATTATAAAATATTGTTTAGTCATGAAGATGAAAAATTTTTCTGTGGTCTGTGTCCTTGAGCAGCAGACATAATTTATTTAGAGCAGTCACATGTGAAAAGCTTTCTCTTTCCTTCCTCTTCCTCACATTTTTCCTTCCTTTTCTTTGAAGCTTGTATTTACAAAAGTTTTACTTATGCTTTTTTTTCCCCTTTTCCCCTCTCTTCTGTGTCATCCTTTTCTTTTTGATAGGATCCTTATCTGGGCTGAATGTAGCCCAGGAATACAAGACAATCCCCTTCAGCAGTACTTTCTCTAAGTACTTTGGCTAAAAACAGAAGCTGAAAAATATGTAAGGGAAAGACTGTTTAACTGAATCAACAAACTAAAACAAGATATAAGAATATTTAGTTGCACAGCATTCACAGAACCTTCCTATGCTTAAAGTGTATTAGATTTTCTTAGCTTTGTCTTTTATTACCTTTGTCCTCTCTTTCTGTTTTCACTCTGACTAAGCATGCTGAGATGCTCATGTAGGTATTATTGGATGGTTTTGGGTTTAGCTATTAATCCATGTGACAGTGGAGAAAATCTTGGATGGTTGCAGTGGAATAATAAATCCCAAGAATTCCAAATTTCTGGACACCCAAACTGTGCAAAGCAAACTGCTACCTTCAAGTGCAGGAACACCAGGAAATCTTATTCAGGTTTTTATTGTTCCTGCAAGAACTGCTGCAGCATTATGAGTACAAAGCCTCCTCCTTTTTCAAAGAGCTTAGCCCTCAGCTACAGTTCAGCTGAGCTCCAAGAGCTGCGTGGCAAAATAAAGAAATAAGGCACTGACCTTTTTATGGTGCAAAGTTGAATATGTGCAATCTTCTGTCTTTTTAAACCTCCCTTTAAAAAAAAAAAAAACATTAATTCAAAGACTGTTCCTTTCCTAAGTCAGTAAAATCAAATTCTGGGTTAATTATTTCATGCTGATTTTAGGGATTTACTGCTGCTGTGTTGGTTGGTTGGTTTGATTTGCCTGCCTTTTTCATTAAAACAGAGTTTGTCTAATGATCACTTTGTGATATAAAGACAACTCATTTATGTTTTTTTACCTCTAATTATTTCAATTCTGTCATGGAATATTTTTATGATCAGGTAGCGAGTGATTAATTTAAGTGAAACGTTACCTCGTGGGTATCTGCTGTTACATTTATACGTCACATTTATATTTGTATTTCTTACATTTGTGTGGCTGTAGTGCCCCCCTTTGCTTTAAGGGCACAACATTATGCATTCTTCTGCTTTTTCTTTAAGGTTTGGTTTTTTAACTTCATACCATTCAAGTTTTGAAGTGACTTAAAGCAATTTATGGATTTTAGGTGGCACAAATAGCAGTGACAAAATTGGCTTTTTTAATCTGTTGCTAGGGCTAAAGGAGATAGGAGTACTATGCTGAAGCATCCTTTTTGGTTACCAGCATATTTTAATGAGCATTTCAGTGGGCCTGACTTTGAAAAGACCAGAAGCTTGCTTTTCTGCCAAAGTTTATAAAATTTAACATGTGGTTTGACATATTGCAACTTGGATATGAGCACGCAGAACTGACTAGCTGGGTGCTAAGCAGGTCATTTGCCTGCACAGCCTGTTGATTACAGGAACATGGGGCTGAAGGGCGTTTTCCAGTAACCAAAGGGCAAATCCTGTCACAGACTGAGCTGCCATCACTCTCTTGGCAATGAACATGGAATATTTACTCAGTGCTTTGTGGAACATGCACTTTTGTTTTAATCTCATTCTAACTGCATAGCGGTGGTACTGTCCTTTTAGTTTCATCCTTTAATTTTTTAATTTAATATGTTTGGTTTTCATGCCTTGTTTTAGTTTCCCGTGGCTGACTAGCTCTATTTTTGTGCTGAGTTTCTTTGCTTTATCCGGAGACTCTGACAGTTCTTCTGGATGCTAAGTGTTCCAAACTGACAGGCTGCCCATGTCATTTTAGCAACCTGCCAGTCATCCCGGAGTCTCCTTGTCGCTTCTGTTCTTGCTTCTAATCTCCTTTTTTTAGATGGTCACTCATTCAGTTAATTCTTCACCCCTTCTTCAAACAATTTTCTGCTGTGATTTTAATTTAAAAGAAAGTTGAGATCCGAAGGCTCAATGTGTGTGAGTCCATGAATGTGTTAAAAGCAATAATTTGTATTATTCCTTTCCTGAAGTGATTCTACAAAGGTATTCTGAAAAATATCTTATTCTAAAATGTATACAATATGATTTACTGAGTCACTCTAAGAGAACTCTTAGACTTTAGACTTTGAGCTTACTTTGCTGCTGATGCTTTTATTGGCATATGTATATTGCTTAAATTAATAAAGGATTGTAATTTGACTGAGACTTTAGATTGCCTGATCTGTCTACACTGGCTTCCAGTACATTACACTTTTTTGTCTACCTTATTTCTAAACTCGTCTGTGTTTTGCAGCAGCCTCTGGTTGTTCTTTTGCTTTTATTCCCTGGAATAAACACCACAGTTAGTTCTTGTTATTTTCTCCTCAGGAAGAGGGGAAATCAAGTTGCTGCTCAGTCTTTTTCATCAGCTTAAGGAGATTAAATCTTGGTAGCTCTGCGCTGCAAGCTCTCCATTTTTCCAGCAGCCTCTCTAAAACGTGTACACCAGCGTTTGGCACACAGCATGTCATCACTCTGTTAGCCAATGACATGTATAAAATCACCTGGAGCTTGTGCCTGGGGGTGGCTCATGGTCTGTTTTGTCAGGATGACACTCGCTTCAGAACTGCTTTTTTCCAGGGAATGCTTCCTCAGTCTGTGTTACTCATGGTTAAATATGTATGACTGTGGTAAAACTCATGTTGTCTGACCACAAAGTTAACAAAGAGCTCATCCGATTCTCTGTGCATGCTCTGTCCTTGTTCCCCTTTCCTGCTCCTTGCTTTCTCTAATTTCTCCCAGCTTTCAAAGCTCTCTGCAGTCTTCTTGGCTGCAGTTTTATTAATTTGTGTGTTTTTCTGGAGCTCAGCCAAATTGACTGGCAACAGGCAGCTGTCTTCTGCCTCAAGAACTTCCTCAGTTCTAATGAGGTTTTACTGGCCTGACTCAGAATGTTACCTGAAACAACACGCTGCTGTCTTGCACCTAATTACAACAGATTTTAATTATCATTGATTCTTAATTACACTGACCTACAGAAAATATGAGCCAATTATAGACTGTTGCATTGTCAGTTGCATTCCCAACTTTTATATAGATTCTTCTAGAGTGTTGATTTCCCTCATTTCAAACTGTACAATCAAACTGAGATGTAGATTCTGAAGGAGGGGGATTTATTTATTTGTTTTTATTATTTGCTCAACTTAGGGGTAGGCAAAGCCATATGCAACTACCAGGCAGGTCTGATTTTATTAAATCATATAAAATTCAGGAGTAGCTGGGATTATTGGGCAAGTTTGTGTAAGGTGTTCCAATTCTCCTCCATTCCTAGTTATCACTGTTTCATTTGTAATGTATTAAGGAATCACATTTTTCAATCATTTCATGAGTGTTTTTTTTAATATGCCTAGCGTGTATTTTCATAGAGAAAAACATGTTTCAAAATACTCTGCATCTCTCTGATAGAAATAGCTAAAATGAGTTCAAAATGTCTAAATGTTTAAAGAGAACAACATAGAATCTAAAAAAAAAGGAATGGTCTGAAGCTTTTTATATTTCCAGCCTGTAGATTAAGTAGGTGATACCCTTCCAGATACCTATTTGTTATTGTGTTTTACCCTCCAGCACCCACCTTTTCTTAAATATTTGGTTATTCTCTCTGGTTTTGCATTTTTGATGCTATTTCATTTCTTACATAGCCAGTTCTGAGTCCTGAAAGGAGACTCCATCGCCACTGTATTAATCTCTGTGTGCCAAATGAGGTTTTATGTGTTTCCCTGTGTACTCTGTTTGTGACACTTGAATACCAGTTTTACAGGGATGCTGGGACTGTTGGAAAAGGCCATTGTTTCAGAGTGCAGTTGGATTCAGGCCAGGGATTTAACCCCATTCCCAGTGGTAAGATGGAATCCTGCTTATAAGTATGTTCTCCAGTGGCATTTGTGGTCCCACAGTGGTCTGGGGAGAGCTGCAGGGGTTGTTTTAAAGGGAAGGGTGATGTGCACAGCTGCTCCTGCCATCCTTCCTAGTGAAGAAGGGTTTTTCACTGCGAGTTTTCCAGTCTGGAGCAGATGACCTGTCGTGTTGTAGGTGACTGGTACGAGCAGCTGTACCCGCTGGTGGTCACGCTGAAGGACTGCATGGCAGAGGTGGTGACCAGGGCCAAGCAGTCCATGGCCTTTGTCCTGCTCCAGGAACTTGCCTGTGGCTTGCCCCAGTGCCTGATGCTGACCCTGAGGAGAGACATCGTCTTCAGCCAAGCAGTAGGTTGTCTTGTGTCGCTCACTTCCTTCTCTTGCTCTAATTATAAGCATACTCTTCATGCCAGTGTTTGTGGGTTTCTTTCTCATTGGTTTTTTTTTTTTTCCCTTACAATTTGATACAGCTTTTTCATTTATTTTCCATTATATTCACCTAAATAATTTATAATGTGGTAAGAAATTAAATAGGAAGTAGAAATCCATGGTACTGGCTAGGCAGCATCCAAGCCAGGGAGATTTTTTTCTCCTGGTCACCTTGGAAATAGGGAGAAGACAATTTGTTTTCAGTTTGTGGCAGTGTTTTAAGTGTTTAAATACTCTTAGCATGTCTTTCCTTAGAACTGTCTTTTCTTGGCAAATAACTGAAGCTCTTTATGTCTTCTCCTGTATATCATGTTTTTTTCAGATAGATTTTTTTCTAAACATTTCACTTAATTTCTCTCTTAAGTTGGCAGCTGCCTAGGAGATTCAGTTACATTAGATGTTGAACCACTTTCAAATCCATCAGAATTCACATGTTTAATTCACAGTCTTGCATGTTTGAAGCCTGACAAGTGAGGTTCTGGTCTTATTTATGTCAGTGTAAATAACACACAATGATACAAAACAAATTAAGCTTATCTAATATACCTTAACAGAATATTTCACTACTTTATACACCCCCAAAAAACCCATCAAAATACATTATTATGAAATCATGTACTTAGTCACTAAACAGAAATACCTATGCTGATTTCTCAAATATGTAGGTGCTACCTCTGTTGTGTATAATGATGGCAAGCCTCATTTTAACTGTTTGTCTTGTAACAGTTGAAATGTCTTGTATCTGTTTGTCTTGTAACACTCTTGCACATGTTTTAATTATCTTTACAACTCGCTGGATTGGTCTGTGGTTTTGCAATCAAATTGCACACAGGTTTACATGATCAAGGATTTTTACAACAGCTTCACACTGTTGGATTGCTGGTGCAGTATGAAGGACTCCTTAGCACATACAGTAAGTATTGCTCTTGGACAAAGTTCCTTATGTTCCCTGCCCAGAAGTTACCCAGGAAGTTCTTATTTTAACCTCAGCAAGCCTCTTATTTGGCTTGCTGAATCAAATCTTGTCCTTACAAGACAGTAGACTTGCACATAATAGCACAGCTGAAGTCATTGACACTGTGTTGTTAATTCTGCAGCAAAAGTTATTAATCTGTTTCATTCTGAGTTCCTCAGAGAACACGGCCTGCTTATTGTTCCATGCAGACCTGACCCAAAATAGCAGGTTTATAAAACTAATGCAAACGGAAGATTTAAACACTTACTGCTTTTATCAGCCTCGGCCCTGATCCCCAGTGCTGATAATGTGAAGATAGCCTGAAAACAGTTTCATAGTTTGTTACACATGCCATTATTTGATATGTATTAAAAAGGAAATTTGGAGGGAGAAATTGCCTTATGTTTCAAACTTTGAACTAGATCTATTGGAATCATTCCCTGAATCAGAGATTTTGACTAAAGTAGAGGAATTTAGCATTTGTGCAGCTTTATTATGCAGTTGCTCATTTGGAGATAGCTGTCTTCTTCATTTTACATGATGCTTGTTTTTATTCTCAAAACCTTTGTCCTCCATCAGCAGGAAAGCCTTTTGAAAACTTTCAGAATAGACAAAAATGGCTTTTCTGAGGTTATTTTATGTCTATATAGAGCAGGCTGATTTTCAGAATTGCTTAATACTCATGGTTACCATTTAGGGCACAGAATTGTCAGCAGTTCAAGAAATGAGTCTGGTTTTATGTAGGTTACTGTAATGTGGATTTAGAACTGTGATTTTTAGATGCACAGACTGGAAAATATATTGCTTTGCCCTGACCTATACAGTGACTGATCTGCCAACTCTGTTAATAGTCTCTTTAATCTTTTCATGTAGGTGAAGAAGCAGGGATGCTCGAAGACATGGCTGTGGGCATTTCAGATTTGCAGAAAGTAATGTTTAGAGTAATTGAAGCCAAGTCAGAAGATTTTTTGCCTATTATAAGTGGAAGGCGGTAAGAACTTTGTTTCTTGGAGCCCAGGAAACTGAGCTGCAGTTTTAATCTGTAGCCCATGAAACCCGTCTAATGGTTTTCTTGTTGCTGAGTTCTGTTTTATTGAAAGTGCATTGTTTTACTTTTTAGAAGGTGAGTTAGTAGGGATTCTAAAAGCCAGTAGGCTCTGGGTTACTCTCCTGATAAAAAGCTGAAGTTCCAGTTACTAATACAGATTAATCTGAGCAGCGTCTGTGTTGTGCAGAGCTGCTGGTGCATTATTCACACATGGATACTGAACCCTGGACAAGTGACAAGGCCATTGTTTACAAATGTGGTCTCTAACTGAGAAACTTTGCTTTTGAATGTCCTGAATTTGTATTTCAGCATGAGAAATGAAACTGCAGTTCCAAGAGTTAGGCCTTGATTGTTTTTAAGATGGAAACCAAAAAACTCCGATGCCACTTAGTATTAAAAACTTAGTAGTCACTTTTAAAAATGGAAGCCTTTTTTAGCTGCTGAAAATCACACAGGACATAGGCAGTCTCAGAAATCCTTGCACAAAATCACTTATCCTTTATGAATCTCACGTGAGTACTGCTGAATGTCAGGACATATACTGCAATACTCCGTTTATTTTGGCTATTTGAGGGTTAACAAGATTGGAATGGATTTTTCATCTTTATTATTATTCTAGTCTGAAGCTCCAAATAGTTTTATTTTGCAAAAATCACTTCCTTAATAGTATCATTGCTCTTAAGATGACTGTAAATTAAATTCAGCTAAAAGCAGGAACTTTTAGAAAATATATGTTTCCTCTGAAGGGGGCTTTCACCACTGATTTACTTAATTAATCTGGATGATTCACTCTCATCATATGGGCTTTCTGAGAAGGGATTGAATAAATAACAGGAAGGCTGGAATATGATAGGCAATACAATGGGAATAATTAAAATTAAAAAAATTTTAAAAATAAAATCTACAAGGTTTATGTGGAGGAGTGCCATTCCTCTTAGAGCTGTGATAAGACTGCTCCTATCAAACAGCATTGGAAGTGAACCGTAAAAAGAAAAGATGAAAAGGTGAAAATCTAGTTATTTTCTAATAATTTTTTTAGAAACCCTCCATTTTTATTTTGGTTGTTATATGGTATGGCTCAATAAATGAGAGTGAAAGACTGTAGAAATGCAAGACAGAAAAATCAAACTACAAATTCTTATCTTGAAGAGTCAGCATATTTACTTGTAATTGTTTTTTCTAGGAAAGTGCTTAAACCTGACATTCTGTGTGCACAAACAAATCAATCCAAAGTGTGTGGCACTGTCTAGCAGTGCACTGATCATCTGGTGTGGGTGGTAGATACCAGCCACCCAGGGGAGGTGAAATTCTGTTCAGGAGCTCACATGCTTTTATTAGAGGCCATTCTTTTATTAGAGGCGCTTTTGGAACATTCTTTACAGAATCACAGAATATTTTGAGTTAGAAGGGACCCATATGCATCATCAAGTGCAACTCCTGGCCTTGCACAGGGCTTCCCAAGAATCACACCCCGTGCCTGAGAGTTCAGATGCTTCTTGAACTCTGTGAGGCTTGGTGCTGTGACACTTCCCAGGGGAGCCAGTTCAACCTGCTCAACCATTCTCTGGCTGAAGAAACTTTTCCTGACATTCAAGAACCCCATCCTCACTCTTGTTTTCATTGTTGCTAGTGAACATTACATTATAGAGGTCCAGCTCCCAGCAAAGATGTTTGAGCTGCTGCCACAAGAGATTAACGAGGGAAAGCTGCTTCGCATGTATCCAGTGCTCTTTAATGTTGGAATCAATGAGCAGCAAACACTGGCAGAGAGGTAAGGAAAAGTCACGTTGCATTTTCTGTCCAAGTACTCCATGCTGGTACAGGCTATCTCTCAGGATTAGAAACAAATCTTCTTTGTTATTTGCTCTTAGACAATCTCACATTGACTCAGTGTGTATTTTCAAAGGTATTAAAGGAAATAAACACAAGCTATGAAGCAATGTAGAACAGTGAAAAAGTCCAGATGAAGATAAGATCATAAGCAGGGCTCCGTTTCACAGAGTTGGTGCCATGTTTCTCTTGGATACAGGTGCAAAATGGATTTCTATTTCAGATGCAGAATTTTGGTTGTATGCAGTACTCTGAAATTCTCACACAAGTTTGAAAATTCAAAATTCTTACATCTTGAAGATGGGTTTGAAGAGACCAAACAAGTGATAAGCTAGAGAAATTAGTACTCCTCTGCAACAGATTGCTGGAAACTAATTAATTAGTATAATAATAGTCATGGATTCACCAACGTATTAATTTTCTCTTCCAAGAGAAGGGTATCTGTCAGTCATGTTAAATTACCACATTTGTGCAGGGCTAAAACTGCAAAGTAGAAGTCAAGATGTCAATACAGACAGCTACTTTGTTAAAACTTCTTTTCTTTTAGCTGCTTTTATTAACAGAGCGTCCAAAATACCTAATGCTTATCTTGAGGTTGCATTTGCTCTAAGCCAAAAGCTTATAGCAAAGCTGTAGCTGGAGTAATGGAGGGAGACAGTGAAAATCCTTAACCTGGGTAATAGGCAAGAAGTTAAACACCACAGGATTTTATCTCCTGTTCACTGTAGACAGCCAAGTAAACCCAGTCTTTTAAAGAAGTCTACTAAAGAATGTCATCAGGTAGCTTTGTGAATGTTTATGGGACACTTCTCCAAGTTGAGTGGTGGTATGTGAGAAAATTTAGGCAGAAAGTTGAAATGGGAGACATAGACTGAATCTAAAGACAGTAAAATCTGGCATTTTACTGTGAAAGAGCTGGATAGCTGGTTAGAGAACTTGGAAACTTCTTGAAAATGAAAATAGGTTATTCTGATGACATAAAGAGAAAAGTGCTGAGAGGAGTGACGTGGCCAAACTCATAATGTGCAAAACCAACAAAATCAGTCATGACAGTTCTGAGTGGGACACTCAAAAAATAAGAGGTAAGACATGATGTGGTAAGCAAGAAGCAGGCTGGTGGGAGCTTACACGAGTGAGATAGGCAGGAAGGACTGAGTTATGAATAGTCTGAGGAAAAATTTGACAACATTTAGAAATAGCCTGATTACCTGGGGGCTTGTAGAGGAGTTGGTATGAAAAGATGCCTGGCTTGCAAGTGAAGTGGCAGGAAGTGTTGTTCCCAGTGGTCATTTTACATTGTGTGCAAAGAAAGCCATAGGAGAAAACAAAATAACTGCATATTTATAAATATGGATATGTACTAATATCTGCCAAGAAAATAAGTTCAATGCAGAAGCAGCTTTAATGCATGCAGTTACAGTCTGCTTTTGTCTTAATTCAAAATGCTGCTTAACTCCTAAAGTTGTACATTTGTTTTTGAGACTGAAAACACCACACACGATTTATAGCTAAAAACATGGAGGGGTTTGTGGGATAAAGAACCTGAGAATATAAAAACACTTTCGTGGCAAATTTCTAGGAAATGTTACTGTATTAGAAAAAAAATCTTTTAATTTGTTTTTTGATAGAATACACTTGAGAATGTTTCCGATTTAAAAGAAATGTTCTCATGTGACAGTGCAGCAATGGCTACTAAGGAAGTAGTTACATCTTCTCCCTGTGGCCTGTTGAAATATTTGCTTCCCTTGTTCCCAATTTAGCAGCATATTTGGTATCTTCTGATCTGTGTCCCCTTCTCTCTGAGTTTCTCACTTATCTGCCCATGCCTCTCTTCCTGTACTCCTCCATTCCCGTTTCAAATCTATTCTGAAGATGAATTTCAAAACTTTGGCCCTAATTGTCATGGGGACATTCGTGTCTTTACAATCATATCTCTTGTAGTACCGTGAGATTTAGTTTCTTGGCATGTGAAATGTGGCTGTTGTAGAAATCTTGGTCTCAGAGAGAAGGATATTTGTTTTTATAGCTACAGTTATTTTGTAGATAAGCTTCTCTTCCATCTTGTGTCACTTCCATATTATCCAGCTCTTACAGAAATTGGTATGCTTAAGCAGTAGCAGCACTAAGAGATGGAGAGTTGGTGTTCTCTGCCTGTGGTACCCAATTTTTGGAATTGGAATTCCCCCAAAGTGCCTTTCCATTTATTCACGATTTGTGAGGGGAAAAGAATAAGTGCCTTATTGCATGTTTGTAAATAGATTGCTTTGTTAATAAACTTTTGGAAGAAGTATGCATCAGCGATGATCTCGTTTCCAAAAATTAATTCCAAAGCATACAAGAACTTAACTACTGCATGTTTGACAAAATCTAATGCATTTAGCACTAAAGTTATTTCTTTATGCAAAGAAATAACTATGAAGGATAATTTATCTTTTGTTGTTGTTTGTGGGTTTTGGGTTTTTTTTCATAATTTATTGTGTATTTTCATAGGTTTGGAGATACCACTTTGCAGGAAAACATTAACCAGGAAAACTTAGAGCTTCTCAAAGAATATTACAAGTTATTTACAGAAAAAATGCCTCCTGATTGTGAGTACAAAATAATGCAATGTCCAAATCGGTTTGAAAAGCTTTGAGTAGGTAGAAGGTTATAAGACAGTAATATTAGCAGAATCCCATAACTTGTTCCATAAATTTAAACATTTTGTACCTGTACATGACCCTGCTGGTCTCAGGAGTGATTTCAGGCCTTGTGCCACAGCAGAAACTACAGAGAAAATGAAACAGAGGAATGATGAACTGAACAGCTATTTTAAGTTATTAAAATAATAAGTTTGTTAATATTTCATGTAGAGGACAGTCTGTACCTACTGTATTTTTACATAAATACTTGGTGGGCAATTTCATCAGCTTCAGTCATACCCTCTGTTCTTATTCTGAAAATATGTTGAGGTTTGGTGAACCATGGAGAAATCTGCAGATCAAATACAAGCAATGAGCCACATCATCATTATATGAACGACAAGGTTTCATTGGAATAGGCCCTGTATTCCACTTCTGTAGAACTTCTGTATTATAAACATAAGCATTACTATGCTGTTACTCTGATTGCCAGAAGCAAGGACTGAAGAAAACATCTGCATCAATCGAATCCTGTTAGTTTTAATGCCCAAACTATAGTCCCAAATGTGGGAGATGTAACTGCCTGATGTTTAAATGCTATGTAAAACTTTAATACATCACATGCGTATGTATACATGTTTATCTCTTATATCAGGATGATTTTAATTTGTTAATCATTTTGACAGAAACAAAAGCCCTTCCTAAATGATGGGCAGGATGCCCATCCATCCCCCCACAGACCTAGTATTTATTTCCAGGATGTCTACAGAGAAACTCATACAATAAGTTGGGTGATTAATTGAGGGGAATGTTGCTAAGAAAACATCCTCGAAAAACTAACCTCATGCAGGTTAGGACTAAGGTAGATCTGCTACCTCATAAATGGATTTTATTTTATAAAATACTGCATGCAGACAGTATTGGCTACTTTTCATTAACACAATTTAAACTTGTACTGCCTTCCTGAAGGATTATTAGTGAGCCACACAGTTCCTGGACTTCTTTCAGACTGTGAAGGCTTTTGAGAACTAATTGTGTCTAGTTCATCGTGTATTTTCTGGTTATTATAACTTTCTTGCTTTTTTTCTTTACCTTTAAGAACTCAGTCTCTTCTTTATACAATTTTTTGTGGAACATAAAGCATCTTTTGGTTCCACTGCCCTTCCCAGTAGCTCCCTGCCAGTATACAGAGTCAGTCTTTTGCCTTGGAGAAATGTGCCTTTTAAACCAGCCCCCTGGGAAAAAAGGGAAGCTCTCAAACTTGTTCATTTGTGGCAGGACTTAATCCCACTCCTGTTCCCCCTCGTCTGGAAGACAAACCTCCATACAAGGCTGGCAGCAACCCTGGTGCTGGGGCCACGTGAGAGGCATTCAATATTGATGGCTTTTTGATGGTTTTGTCCCACCTATCCAGATAATTTCCTATAATGCCAAATCTGTGCTACAAAATCAATGCAGGACTGTGTTCCCAAAGCTGTCAGTTCCAAACAGTGCTCAAAAAGCCCAACAGAATTTGAGCATTTGCAGCCCTATTTGCCAGGCTGTTGGATCCACCCTTGGTAGCCTCCCTGGCCTGCTGCCTCATTCATATATTCCCTTTCAAAGAATTCAATTTCCCACTCCCTGAAAGGTATTGCCACCTTCGCTGTTAGTTTTCCTCTTGTGTCTGTATTTCTCCTTGGCAATAATAGTCTTGCTTGTAACTAAGCATCCACTGACTTTCTGTCTTTAGGATGAACATACACTTCGTCATTTACCCATTTGTTAACTTCTTAAATTCTTTTAGCAGAAACTGAAAATAAGAGCATGTTTCCAGCAAGGTTCCTACCAAAAATGCTGACCAAATATAGCTCAAAATGGTACTGCTTTTATAGAAATACTAAGACAGTAAGGGTCCAAAAACGTAAGATAGTTGTTTAGTAGTACGTAAGTACCTGAAAACAAAAAGGCTGTTTGGTATTTCCAGGCTTCTCCCCCTTATCAGCCTGATTTGGTGGTTTGGTACTGTGGGGGACCCAAGGAGTTTAGGCCATTGATCATTTCCAGTCAAGGTGCAACCCCTTTGGCAGTACTGTGAATTAGGAGACTCTTGCTGTACCTGTGCTGAAGTCATCCCTCTGAGATGTCACGTTTTCTGCTGTGACCCAAAGGAAAGCTACTGGGAGCAATAGAATGTTTAGTGATACATTTGCATCATCTCAAAGCATCTTTGCCATTTTGTGCTCTCTGTTTTAAAGAAACAGATGCACAAGTGTAATAGTCTAGCAGAGTGTGATGTGGTTTTATGTGCTCTACATTATCTAATGTACAATCAGAGCTTGTGATACAGAGGTAAAACAATCCACATTAAAATTATTGCAAAACAGATTCTGGATGTACGTTTTCCTCCCTTTTTCTTTTTTTCTTGTTTGTTTGTGAGTTTTTTTAGACAGCACAGTATGACTGGAGCAACTTAGTTCTTTTTGAATAGATTTAAAGTACTTCTTCCTATGAATCATGGATAAGGGAAACTACAGAATTTATTAGATGTAAAAGGTAAAAGCCTGTTGATGAGAGGGATCATTCCAACTTGGATCACGTTAGGAGAATGGATATTGACCTTCATTAATACTTCCCTCATTTTTTTTCTTCCAATTGAGTATAAGTTTTTGGGCTTGGGTTTGGGGCTTGGGTTGTGGGGTTTTTTCCCCTCACTGGATGGATAATTTACTTTCTCTGCTTGAAGAAATCCATTGATCAATTTAGTTTCACTTTGTTCCACTTGATTCTGGCCCCTTTATTTGGTGATAACTATGATTTAAATTCTTTTTACTTTGCCACCATGAGAAGAAATAATTTCAAAAAACAGATTCTGCATGTTTTTATTGATTTTCAGAACTAGCAAGGATAAATGCAACATTAGAAAAATCCCTCCTCTATATACATATGAAACAGAGGGGGAAATTAAATTGCCTACTCTTGAATTTTTGCTGGAGATGTAGGATAAATTAAACTTCAACTTAAATTCCATACCCAGAACAAGCAGGTAAATTTTTGGATTTTAAGCAAATTTGAAATTATTTTCTACTTCAAAATAAAGCCCCACTTAATTTCAGGAGAAAGATACTTTGTTACTTTTTAGAGGGGATACTAAGTGCTGTTTAACCCTTATCTTACATTATAGAAAAATCTAAGGCATATTTTAAAACAAAAACTAGATGTTTCAATTTGAAAACAAAACCCTAATTTTTTACTTTAATTTTAAAAAATAATCATCCCATCAAAGCAGGTTGTAATACACTCAGTTTTTTTTTTATTTTTCTGATTTCTTTTGAATGTCTGTAATAGCTGATGAACAGAACTACAGCAGAGATTTGGTTTTGTTTTTCACCATCCATTTATAAGATAAAGGTTGAAGATACTTCAAATTTCCACGTGAAGATCTTAGGGAGGACAAGGCAATACTCAAAAGACATAAGGTTTGCTTATTCCTTAAATATTTAGCTGGTAATTTCTATCCTGTGTTCCAAAACAAGGCTGTAAATAATAGACCTGTTCTTTACCATGAGCATTCTTTAGTCGGGACAATCATATCACCAACCTTATCAAAATGAGCAACTTTTTTCGTCCTTTTTTCCCAGGTTTACCACATTTTCAAGAACAAAATGATTTAAAGGGATTGCTAGAAAGTCTTCATCAAAATATCCAGGCCAAAAAGAGAAAGAATGTAGAAATCATGTGGCTGGCTGCAACGGTGAGCTCTCTTGTTTCAAAGAAATTGATGAACTAACCATAAACTCATTTTCATAAGCTTGCTGACTTTGTAACTGCAATGGATTTTAAGGAAATGACTGGAAAACTCACTGGTTAAAGGAGGCAGATGTGCTGTAATAGTTTTTTGCAGACAATTTCTTTTTCTCACTTTTTAAACTGGTAGAACCTGCTAGAATTTGAGTGATTTGTTTGATATCCATTCTTTGATAATATAAAATTACTCAAAATAATTTTTTAGTGTCCTTGAGGTATGATGTGGGACACGATTGCTTGGTTCCCTTACTTTAACTTTCTGAAATGTGTATTTCTGGTCCTAGTGATCTACACACTGTTATTCTATATTCCATTTATTTATTGAAAAAGATGTAAGAAGAAAACTTTGTCAGTGCAGTAGCTGTGCAATATCACTTTTTTATTGCAGTGGAAGTACAAGATTCCACATATGAGCCCATCACTCATCCAGAATAATTACCTGGGATTTTTTTACTTTATTTTATAAATGATTTTTTAATATTTTAAAATTTTTTTAGGACTCATTCACATCGAATAGCCCCAATGAATCGGGGGCTTCCAAAGATACTAGTGCAAAGAGAATTAATCTCTTCAATGAAACAGTTCTTTCACATAATTATTTAAGCAGATTATCATATAGTACTTGTTTTAAATCCCAGTGCAACTGTTCAAATTTTTAAACAGATTTAACTTTTAAAATTTTCAATTATATGATGGAAGAAACACTCATAGGTTCTCCTTCACTATCCTGTACCTCTTTGGATTCTAAGTAAGATTCCCTTAATTGGTTCCCTAAATTAAACTTTTGAGATTGTCCTCACCATGGTATCACAAAGAACTTAAAGGCTCTAAGTATTTTCTGATTTTTATAGAATTTAATAGTATTTATTGTTTAATAGAATTTCTAAGAATGCAATTAGCATTAGATGAAGAAACACTTATTTGCTGGACTGACACTGGTCATGTTTCAGTTCATGTTCCAGTTCATCCTGCGAGCTCTCCCATGATAGCCAATGCGGGAAGTTTCTTTTTGTGATTCCTGCTGTAGTTTATTGCCTTGCTGCATTCTCACAAACATTTTGAGGTTTTGTACCATTACACCTGTGATTCCCCAGGGATAGGTGTAAGCAAAGTATTACCTTTTCTCAGGACAGGTTATATCTGGGAAATGGTAGATTTGGGCACAGAAGCTCTCCTTCAATTTTTCTTTTTCTAGTAAAATATCATTTGAAACCATAGTATAAACTAATGGAATGATACAACCACAGATTGATTCCTAAGAGGAGGAATCATCCTCCAAAATGTCATGTTTCCTTTATGTGTTATAACTTTTTCAAAGTATAAGTGAAAGTAGACAATCCATGGCAGCAATTTGTTAAACTTTATTAATTGTGAGCCATACATTGAACAGTTCACCTGTTGAAAATAAAAACTATGTAAGTTAGATGTGTCTGACTCCATACCTTCACAAGAAGTTAGTCTGCTACATTCATGTTTGTGAGTTAAGACTCACCATATCTTCATTCATCAGATATTCAGACAATTTAGCTTTCATTGAACAGGGCAGCTGCTGCATTCAGTGAGGAAACGGTGAAGGAACTGTTTCTTTTATAGTTATGAAAGTCCCATGTCAAATTCAGGAATTCAGTGTACTGGTACTAACTTCCAGAAGATGTTTTCTTCTTGAGAAGTGCTGTAGCTGTCTGGAAGCCCTCGCTGGGCTTGCAGAGCTGTAGGGCTGCGCAGCCTGGTAGGAAGGAAGGGCTGACCTGTGGGGCCTGCCCGTGTTTCAGATTTGCCGCAAGCTGAACGGAGTGCGCTTCACCTGCTGCAAGAGTGCCAAAGACAGGACATCCATGTCAGTGACGCTGGAGCAGTGCTCCATCCTGAGGGACGAGCACCAGCTGCACAAAGACTTCTTCATCCGGGCGCTGGATTGCATGAGGAGGTACGTGGGGCTCCATGGAACTCTGAGCCAGGCCAGGGCTGCCAGCGAACAGGGCCTGAGGCTGGTTCTGAGGGCCCAGCAGAGCCTGAGGCAGGTTCTGAGTGCCCAGCAGAGCCCAGGGCCATGGGCACACAGGGTCTGAGGGTGGTTCTGAGTGCCCAGCAGAGCCTGAGGCTGGTTCTGAGTGCCCAGCAGAGCCCAGGGCCACGGGCACACAGGGTCTGAGGGTGGTTCTGAGTGCCCAGCAGAGCCCAGGCTGGTTTTGAGTGCCCAGCAGAGCCCAGGCTGGTGCTGAGTGCCCAGCAGAGCCCAGGGCCACGGGCACACAGGGTCTGAGGCTGGTTCTGAGGGCCCAGTAGAGCCCAGGCCTGCCTGCACAGGGTCTGAGGCTGGTTCTGAGTGCCTAGCAGAGCCCAGGCTGGTGCTGAGTGCCCAGCAGAGCCCAGGGCCACGGGCACACAGGGTCTGAGGCTGGTTCTGAGTGCCCAGCAGAGCCCAGGCTGGTGCTGAGTGCCCAGCAGAGCCCAGGCTGGTTCTGAGTGCCCAGGGCCACGGGCACACAGGGTCTGAGGCTGGTTCTGAGTGCCCAGCAGAGCCCAGGCTGGTGCTGAGTGCCCAGCAGAGCCCAGGGCCACGGGCACACAGGGTCTGAGGCTGGTTCTGAGTGCCCAGCAGAGCCCAGGCTGGTGCTGAGTGCCCAGCAGAGCCCAGGCTGGTTCTGAGTGCCCAGGGCCACGGGCACACAGGGTCTGAGGCTGGTTCTGAGTGCCCAGCAGAGCCCAGACTGGTGCCGAGTGCCCAGCAGAGCCCAGGGCCACGGGCACACAGGGTCTGAGGCTGGTTCTGAGTGCCCAGCAGAGCCCAGGCTGGTTCTGAGTGCCCAGGGCCACGGGCACACAGGGTCTGAGGCTGGTTCTGAGTGCCCAGCAGAGCCCAGACTGGTGCTGAGTGCCCAGCAGAGCCCAGGGCCACGGGCACACAGGGTCTGAGACTGGTTCTGAGGGCCCAGCAGAGCCCAGGCCTGCCTGCACAGGGTCTGAGGCTGGTTCTGAGTGCCCAGCAGAGCCCAGGCTGGTTCTGAGTGCCCAGCAGAGCCCAGGCCTGCCTGCACAGGGTCTGAGGCTGGTTCTGAGTGCCCAGCAGAGCCCAGGCCTGCCTGCACAGGGTCTGAGGCTGGTTCTGAGTGCCCAGCAGAGCCCAGGCCTGCCTGCACAGGGTCTGAGGCTGGTTCTGAGTGCCCAGCAGAGCCCAGGCCTGCCTGAGCAGCAGCCTGACTGCTGCTGGGTCACCTCAGGGCAGGCTCTTTGCAGCGGTGTGTTTTATCTGTCATTAACAGTTTGTGAGACAGATATGTGAAATCTTGCAAGGGTCAGCTCACCGACTGTAGAATATGAGCAGTAGTCTGAGCAGCAGTTGCTTTTAAAAAACGTTATCTTTCAATTTTGAGGGTATTTTAAAAACCATTTGCGCAGTCATTAAATTTTTTGTTCGACATCTACACAAACACAGAGAAAGCAAAAGAAAAATTTGTTACGCATGGCAATTCTTACTAGTCACGTTATTGAAAAGAAACATCCAAGTAGGTTTGGACTGGTGGTGTTTGCCACTAATACCTGATGAAATCTTTACTGCGCTTTAGAAGAAGTGAATTAAAACATGTTTTATTCTAAATTGCAACTATGCAGAAATTGAGGCTGATATTATCAGGAATGTGTAATTAAAAGATGTAAAGATTTTTCATTACCTGAGTCTTTGATGAATAAAAAAACCTTCTTGAGCAAACAAATGTCAATCATAAAATTAATCCACATGCTAGATTATCTAAAGAAACTTTCATCATTGGTTTTAATGAGCTTAATCATATAGTTTTAATCATATAGTAACAGTTCTAATCACATTGTCAAGAGGAGTTTTAAAATGTGTATCCCCGACACTAGAATAACATATAACAAAGGTCACTGCAAAACTAATAGAAAATATTTTGGTCAGCCTGCAAAGAAGTAACTGAATCATATCTTGGACTTTTCTTAAACACAAATTGTTTGTATGGTGGCTTTATAAAGATCCTAATAAGTAAACAAGCATGTTTACGGTCTGTAATGGGTAATTCTGGACCTTCATATTTATTATTGCCAGAATAGGTGCTTAATGTGTAGACTAATACTGTAGGTTTGCCCACATAAACCCTTTGTCCTTTGGCAAAGATAGCTGCTCTGAAGAGAAAAGGTAATTTTATAAAGAGTAAATGAGCTGAGATGGCTTAGCTGTAGGTTTAGTTGACAAGTGCTACTAATGCAGTGAGATGTGGTGTGTTGAACTGAGCTGTATTGTTTTGGATGTATTGCACCTTGCATAAATCCCTCAGTCTCTGTAGTGATTCAGTGAGTGAATGAGTTTTGTGCAGTCTTTCATAACTACATATTTTATCATTAATGAATTCTGAGTTTTCTGTGTTAAATTTTGTTTTTTGGCATTTCAAATGCTTTTTTTTTTTTTTTTCTGGTATGTCTCCAATAAATACAAAAGTATGTAAACTACAGTAAGTTACCAGACAGGAAAATAATTTAATTACATAAAATCGCCATAATGTTAGAATAGCTTTGAGTAGAGTAGGAGATTGGAAAATTTTCACAGACATAAATATAATTTTAAAAAACCTGAACTTGTTAGTAAAAAAATGTAGTAGGTTTTTGTAGATCAAAATATAAATGGTTTTGAGTGGGTTTATGTCATGTGAGTGATTTGAAAGTTGAGAAGATTAACACATTAGTTATATTTGCAGGCAACAGTAATTTGAAGTCACAGAAGAATGTTGTAAAGGCAAAAAAATCAGAATAATACTTAAAAATTAAACAAGCAAATGGGTATATGAGGTTGAAGCACCATTACAAAAATGTAAAATCTATCAGTTATGCTGTACTTTCAAACAGACAAAAGCTTTATCCTGCTCTTGCCCTGTATATGAATTTCAGAACTGAATTAAAGTAGGTGAAAAATGAGTTACTTTGACTTGGGTAATAGGATTGTCTGAGGACTAAAGCAAAGGCTTTGCAGTAGTGGCAGTAGCATACAAAATAATTTGCACCATCAGGATAGTAAAGAAATAAATCTTCTAACTATGCTGGTTGCTATCAGTCTAACACAATACTAGAGGTTTAAAAATAAAATACAAAAAAAAACCCAGCCAAATTCCTCTTTTTCCCTCCCGAATTCAAAATTTTCACGTCTAAGAAGAGAACCTATTTTCCTTCAAGGGCAGACAGAGAAAAACTATTTGCCATTTAATTTGCAATTTTAGCAGTTTTTTTTCCCAATGAATCTTCTCTAGATCACTTTGTTAAAGTTTGTCAATCAAATCCCTTTGTGCTGATTGCCACAAATTGCTTTTAAGCCTTTCAGAAGAACAAGTAGACATGAAAAATTCAGTTTTACCATCTAGAATCCTAACAGTTTGGGTTGACCTTTGAAAGGCTTCTTTTAAGAGTTAACAGTGGGAGGTAGAGACTGCTGTGAAACTAAGTGAACTGTAGAAGTAAATGGTGATTCAAAAGCAGACTTTATTGGAAATGCCATAATTTTGAGATATGAAAATTATAAAGGTGCCTGTGTAGCCATTAGACTTTTTCTTTGTCTGCCAGTGGTGACAGAGCTTTTGCAGTGGAAAAAGGAAGCATGCGTTTACAGGTTCATGCTTCCTTGCCACCAGCAGCTTGGAGATGCTGCCCTCCTGTGTGCTGCTGCTTTTCAGCTTCTTCAGGGTGCCCAGAATTTTGAGCAATCCAGAAGTGATTCCCAAAGTTTCAGCGTATTTGCCTTGGTGTACATTGCATAACTCTGTTTTGGAAAATACTGCCTGTAGCTGTTCTTTTAATGACTTAGTTTGTAAGTGGAATTGTTGTCGTTTAGTGATAAACTCTACAATGTTTGTTGCTTCTTTATAAAAAAAGGCTGTACAAGAATGCTTCTATTAGTTCTTCCTTTCACTTATGAAAAATGTGGAAAATGAAGCAATGATGGCAATGCACACTTTCTCATTTACAATATGTAATAGATGGCTTTGTCCTCAGTCATAAGTCGGGCCATTATGATGCTGCAATTGATGTGTACCTGGAGCAGCCATTCTATAAATAATTCCACATATTATAATTTCCTTGATATAGGTTTGTGACTTCCATTGATCTTAGTGACAGGCATAGTTCAGAATGAGGAAAATCAATATATCATCCCCTCTGTATCAAGTGCTTGTAATTCACATCGTATTAAAACCCTGTTTATAATGTCTCTGCCACTTCCAAGTCTCTTTTTGCAGGCATCAATATTCTTATTTTTCCCTTCACCCATACCTGAATGTTTCCTATCATTCAGTGTTAAGTCTATTCCAAGAGACAGAGAGGCACAAAACTGGTTTACCTGAGTTCATTGCAGTATCTGTCACATGGTTCTATTTTTTTGGTCTTTAGAGCTGACTGCTGTTAAGGGAGGATGGACTGGTGGGCAATGCATAATGAAGTAGCTCTGTAAAAAAAAATAGATTTTTTTCCCTTTTTAAAATTTATTTCTTTTCTGACTCTATTTAGCTTTATTGTTTCAGTGACAGGATCCCTTTTGGAGGCTGTGGGTCATGAATAACCTCAGGATCTCCTGTCATTGGGCATGTTTCCAATAAAGCCTCAAAGCAGTAACAAAGGCCATGACAAATCCACTGTCTATGGTGAATCCTCCATGCTGTCAGCCTTATCATCGTTCTGAGCTGGGCACAACACCTGTCACGTGTTTCTGACATTGAATACAAAATTTGACTCAGTGTGGCACACACTGTTTCCACTTGAAACGGTTAAGGATATTTCAGGGTGTCTTAGATAAAGTGCCTATCAAAAATCTCCCTGAAGCACGAGTTCAAAGAATGAATGATCTGGACAACAAGTATTGGGCTTTTGATGAGCCAATTATAAAGAAAATATCTCCTTTTTTAAAGAGCTGTTTGAGGACATTAAAAATGA